TTGTTAGTGATTAAGAACAAGAATCAGTGATGAAATAACAATACAACCTTTAGTTGTTGTTGTTTGTTTGTTTTAGGAAAGTAAAATGGTTGGTTGTTGTTAAGCGCAAAGCTACATAATGGGCTATATGTGGTCTGCCCATCACTGGTATCGAAACCTGATATTTAGCGTTGTAAGCCTCTGAGACGCTGGTGAGCTAGGGAAATAAACACCTTGCTATCAGCATCCATTAATAGCTTAATCAACATTTTAACATTTAGTTTACGTTTAAACACCTTACTTGCTGTTGGTTTTAATATTATCAACAAGTATAAGACCTTTTTGATTTACTACTTTCTTTTTTAAAGATATCCTCATATTTCCTGTGGTTCCACTTTATCTGTCAATTTAAACTTAATCTTTGGAAAACCAGTTAGTTTGGTCTCTTTATTACCCTTTTTCCCTTGTTAGGCCTAACTTAAACAAAAAGCTGTTTGTTTTTTAATTTCCCAAATCTATCCTTCATCACCATTTAACTCATTATTCCAGTTCACTAACGATAAATCTTGTCTCATGGCCTGAATACATGAACCAACTCTCATTTATAAACAATTTACTCTTTGTTCTAGATAATGCCCGAAATTACCGGATTCATGAGTCCTCACGAACTTTCTAGATATTCAGAGACCGTATTCTATTATTACTTTTATGAACTTACTTGACCTTAACGCCCTCTAGCTAACACATTGAAAATGCAGTTTATAAGAATTAGTTTAAAATATTTCCTAACGTAAGTAGAGTTTAAATACCCCCTGGAGCTGATGATGACTACATTTCTCTGAAATCATAAATGTTACCACTCACGAGATGGCTTGCTAAAAATGGAAACAAAATGTTACTATTGGCGAATGCCCGCACGCACGTGCTCTCTTCCTATCATTGGCTAATACACTGACGCTCTAGGGGATTTTTGACCATGAAACTTAACTATTGCGCATGACCCAGAAAAGTAGAAATTGTGACAGTAGGTTTATCATTTGGTCACGTGAAGTTTTTGCACGAGAAAAATAAATTACAATAAAAGAGCGTTCAAAGAAGGTTTATAACACTGCAAAAAGCATTGATATCACATATCAAATCAGACAAATGCAGAACATTGTACAAGATTAATATCATAGCAATATCTTTTTGTAGTATCGAAGGGTATGACATCTACTTTATTGCATGATTTATAAATTTTCCAAGCATTTTACACTATTTATAACTTTTATTTATTACTGTCTCTTTAGTGCTGCTGGTAACGTGTAGATACTTTGAAACTAGCTCATTGTGCAGTATTTTGTACTTCCTGTTTCTAATGTCATGTAATTGTTCTTCTTCGACAATCAGATTCTGGAAATCCATATACCAGTATGTCATTCTATGGAATAAAATTAAAATAAACATCTAATTAAAGTCCAATCATCGAACATATTCGTCCTTTTAGGAGTGAGGGCGTTATGCTGTGACGGTCAATTCTATATTTTTCGTTGGTAAAGAGTAGCCTAAGAGATGGTGGTGGATGATTCTGACTAGCTGCTTTCCCTCTAGGCTATCATTTCTAATTTAAGAACGGCTAGCGCAGATAGCCCTCGAGTAGATTTGCGCAAAATTCAACAACAACAACAACAAAAAACGTAATTAAAGATAAAACGATAACCATTTTTGTAACAAGCATATTGAACTTTTTTTATAAACGGTAAACATTGTTAACTTCTACTGAGTACTGTATTACACATAAATATTGTTGTTATCTTCTACTGAGTACTGTATTACACAGAAATATTGTTGTTATCTACTACTGAGTACTGTATTACACAGAAATATTGTTGTTATCTACTACTGAGTACTGTATTACACAGAAATATTGTTGTTATCTACTACTGAGTACTGTATTAGATAGATAAATATTGTTGTTATCTACTACTGAGTACTGTATTAGATAGAAAAATATTGTTGTTAACTTCTACTGAGTACTGTACTAGACGGATAAATATTGTTGTTATCTACTACTGAGTACTGCATTAGATAGAAAAATATTGTTGTTAACTTCTACTGAGTACTGTACTAGACGGATAAATATTGTTGTTAGTTTCTACTGAGTACTGTACCGGACAACGATATTGCTATGATCTTCTAACAATTTTTTAAATTAAACTTTTATCCAGCTAGACTCTTGTAATTCCTGTGTTTAGAATATGCGTGGAAGTCACGATTTTTTATATTTCTAATTGTCTTCTTCTTATGTCTAGAACTCAGAGGTTTTGATTAAATGTACTTCTGTCCTATTCAGGAGATGATATACGTTAAAACATATATCTGTGTATATTTTTACGTCTGTTAATCATAGTTCATTGCCAAACTAATAGAGATTCATACTTATTGTTAACTAATGCAAAACGTATTGTATGTACTTCTGCAAGATTGAATCAAGTAAGTAACATATTTTTGCTCATGTGAGAAGTTTTCTTCCAATATTCTCAGCGTGGTAAGAACATATATGTGTCACCTCAGGTTTTAGAAATTGGAATCTTTCCAAGGTAGTGCACGAGGCGAGAACATTTTTAAACGCCTAGTTCGTTAAACCTTGCTATTAATAAAGTTACAAAAGTTTCCTGTTTGGAAAGATAATTATATTTTAGCTTAATGTGTACCTTAAAAAACTTAAATTGCCAGCATTCTACTTGGAGTTCATCTAGATCAATAAAATTAGTTCCTAAATCGAAACTCTTAACAATGCTGGGAAACTGATTAATTCTGCCGTTCAAACAAATGTAGTGCTGTATGTAACGTTTCAAAAAATATTCAAAAATACGAGTATGGCTTCATTAATATTAAGTCCTTAACCCTTACTGATATCCTTCAGTGACGGGTTCGTTTGAATTATTTTGTAAAAGTAATGCCAACCCCATAACGAATAACGATAATAAATTAATTAATTTCTTTTATAACTTTTATATAGGCTAAGTTCACTTTGACACAAGCTGTAAGCCTAAGTTTACAAATAATGTTTCAACATACATTCCCCTGTGGTGGTACTACACATAACTTACAAATAACTTTACTTGTAGAGTTCCACAGTTAATCGATCGAGTAACTGAATGGTAGTTCTCATTGCTTACACTGAACTGAATCACTCGCTACATACTTCACTTACAGACCATTTACAAATAACTTCACTAAATCACTGAGTCTCATGTTTGTAATAACATTCGTTTTCTACATACTCTCGGTTATTATATCATCATGAACGTTCTAGGTATTGATCATGATTAGTAGCTCCCTCTAGCAAGTAACTATATTATAACAATGAAAGCATAGCATTCAGTTGTATTCCAGCACGAAAACACACAAACGGTCTTCGTTGTACGCAATTGTAAGCATAACGCAGTTGCTGGGTTGATGTCGAGGACTGGGTTGTATAAAAAATGCCCTCAACTCTGGTCCAGTGCTCTGGGATTCTTCTGTCACTAAAGAAGAGTTAATCGTCTTTCATTGGCTTAATTTTATTTTAGTTTAAAATCAGTCCTAACCAATTTCTCTACTCGCTGCGAACACTTCTTGCTATAGGATAAATCCAGTTAGTACAGAAAACTAATCATGCATCCAAATACATTCCAAAATCTTTTTAATTTTAAAGCACTTTCATCCAAAAAAATCTTTTTATAAATTGACACGTTTTGTTTATTGTGATAATTGCAGAAAAGTTATTTTATGTAAATGAAAGTTTCAATTGTTATTATGTTCTTAAAAGTGTGCTTTAGGATAAAAGACACTAAGATGTGATTTATGGGCACAAAATAATATAGTATGTACTGACCCTTTTTCTTATTTTTGTAAACATTTAAAAGTCAATAACATTACAAAATATAAAATATCGTGGGTTGGACGAAGATTGAACTAATAGTTTCATTGTTAAGTTAAACATAAAGACAAAATGAGTAATGAATAAAAGCCAAGAAAAAAAAAGAGGAAAAAGGATACTGTTAGAATTTAAAAATCTGATCTTATTCGCCAACTGTCAAAATAAAAGGCTTTTATATATGCTTCTTAAGAGTATAAATATATATACCATGTTGTTGTTGGGCTTAAGATTCTTTTACAGTAGGTGTTTGTGACTTGCTAGCGATAAATTCAGCGATAGCTGAACAGCACACACTTCACTTGTTTTTAAAATAATCTATATATTCTGTAGATTCTTCTACAGTAGGTGTCTGTGACCTGTTAGCGATAAATTCAACGATAAATGCACAGCACACACACACTTCACTTGTTTTCATTATAATCTATATATTCTGTAGATTCTGCTACAGTAGGTGTCTGTCACCTGTTAGCGATAAATTCAACGATAAATGCACAGCACACACACTTCACTTGTTTTCAAAATAATCTATATATTCTGTAGATTCTTCTACAGTAGGTGTCTGTCACCTGTTAGCGATAAATTCAACGATAAATGCACAGCACACACACTTCACTTGTTTTCAAAATAATCTATATATTCTGTAGATTCTTCTACAGTAGGTGTCTGTCACCTGTTAGCGATAAATTCAACGATAAATGCACAGCACAGACACACTTCACTTGTTTTCAAAATAATCTATATATTCGGAGCAAGTTAAACGTATGTAGAACAAATTGTTCACACTATAGAGATTACAGGCATATCACAAACCCAACATATATGGTTCTCTTCTTCTTGTCAAAAGTCCACTTAGGCCTATTCAATTGCTTTAGAATTTCAGTTGACAAGCCGAACTATCTTCTCTATTACTATCGCACTAATATTCTGTGCATGATTCACTTACAACTGTGGCGCGAGTTACCATAATTGTTTGGTCTTCTTATCATCTGTTCCTTTTGTCAAAGTACACTCAGGCTGATTCAGTTACTTTAGAACCACACTTTGACGAAATAAATTCTTCTTATTATCACCTTTTCTATTGTTAGTCTTACTATAACATTTTAAACGTTAAACACATGTCAATAGTTAGGCCTATCAATTCTACGGTATTTAACTTCACGTCGAACTTTTCCTTGTCTGTAACTTTATTCTCTACTACTATTAATCGTCTGCCCGCCTTCTAGAAATCTCTATATTCTCGACGTCAGTATAATGCACTCGACATTCGATAGTCTCAACATC